GGTTTGCTTGTTCGGATTTTAAGAATGTTACTTTTCGCCAAGCGGTGGTGGCGCACGCCTTTAATCCAAGCACTTGGGGAGGCAGAGACAGGCGGATCTCTGAGAGTTCGAGACCAGACTGGTCTACAGAGCAAGTGCCAGGACAGGCTCTAATGTCACAGAGAAAACCGTGTCTCGAAAAAAAAAAAAAAAAAGAATGTCAGTTTTCATTCCAGTTCATCTCTCTGGAACTGCCTTTAGTAACATGTCCAGAGTCTTCTCTCTTCAGTACTATTCCGTGGCTCTCGGAGAACTATAACCTCTTGTTAATCCCAGCAGAGAAAACCCTTTCCTAGCTCCTCCTTTTCTGGCAAATGAGTTCATCCTTGTATTAATTCATCTAGCCAGCCCCATTTTTGGTCTGACCCTCTTGAAAGATTACGGTACCCCAATACTAAGTTTCTCCACCAATGCAATAAATCAGATCAGGCCAAATTAAAGCCTAGATTTTAATCTGAGAAATGCATTCCCCGGTGGACCGAACGGAAGAGGAGAAACCACAAGGGAGAACCATGAGGGGAAATCTGTGGGCCAGACCTTAAATATGCCTGCTGCCATTCTTTTAGACACGATGAACATGGACTAAAGCTCTGACATTGTGAGCAAGCCCTCAATTAAATGCTATCTTTTATAAGAGGTTGCTTTGGTCATGGTGCCTCTCCACCACAATAGAATGGTGACTGAGACAATGTCCTACCATGACATCACACACACACACACACACACACACACACATTCATACCAACGTTTTTGGATGAATGAATGAATAAATTTTACAAAGTTCCAAAATACTTCACTCACTACTTGCATTCCTGTGGGAACTGTTTAGATGTTGCTTTTTAAGCATGGGTTAAAAAAGTAACAGGGAAAAACAGTTGTAAAAGTAATGGAGAAGCTACCAAGGCAACTAAATATTGAGGACTGTGAAATGAAAGCTAAGACTCAAAGCAGATTGAAGAAAATGATAGTCATATTGTCGCAAAGGGGTAAAGGCTGGGCTGGTGAAACCCACAGAGACAGCTGACCTGAACAAGGGGGAGCTCTTGGACACCAGACTGATGACCGGGAGGCCAGCATGGGACTGATCCAGACCCCCTGAATGTGGGTGTCAGTGAAGAGGCCTAGGCAATCTATGGGGCTTTGGGTAGTACATCAGTATTTATCCCTGGAATACAAATGGACTTTGGACTTTCCTCTTGGGGGAAGGCCCTGTCCTGAATGAAATGACAGACTCTGGAGATCACCCATGGAGGGCCTCACCCTCACTGGGGAATGGAGTGAGGATTTGGAGGGGGGCTGGGGTGGCTGGAGGGGACGAGGGAGGAGGAGAGGGAGAGGGAGCTGGGATTGACATATGAAGTGAAGCAATCTTGTTTCTAATTTAAATAAAAAAGTTAAAAAAAAAGATAGCCATATTGTCAACCAAAAACACAGTTTTAAGATGGCTGCTGATTTGAAAGGACTTAGTGACTTTTCCCTAAGTAGTCAATAAGTGTTGACTGTAGGTTTCTAGGCACAAAGAACAATTCTAAGTTCTGGTTTCAGATAGATAGCATTTTTCCTTTGGCACACTACACACCAACTATATGTGAAATACAATAAAAATCTACGACTTGTAAGATCACTTTTAAAACTAATAGAAATTTTTCTATTTTTTTCCAGTCTTAACAAAATCCTCAGCTATTTCGACAAGTCTTTACTAAAAACTGCTGCTGAGGTCATACATGATGGAACATGCCTGTAATCCCAGTACTTGGGAGGCAGAGGATCTCTGTGAGATCAGGGACAACATGGCCTAGATGGGGTGTTCCAGGATAGCCAGGGCTACATAATTGAGAGACTCTGCTTCAAATGGGAAGGAGGCAGGGAGAAATAGAGAGAAAGAAAGAGACAGAGAGAGAGAGACAGAGAGAGAGAGAGAGAGAGAGAGAGAGAGAGACAGAGAGAGAGAGACTGAGAGAGAGAGGAAAGTCTTTCAAAATAATCATTTCAGTTTAAGGACAGGTCCATGGTGGTTCATGTGGATTAGTATCAGACAGTTAAAATGGACAGGGTAAAAACCACAAGGCATAAACTGTATATAAAGAAGTGCAGGCAGCTGAGGAATTCAGAGAGTATAAGAAATCGTCTTCCCCAGGGAAGAGTGCACTAACCGGCTATCCACTATCAAGGGGTCAGCCTTGAAAACATACACACAGGTAATCTTAGTTACACAGACTGAGAAGGATATATTTAGAATATATGTATATGCACATCTATATGTGTATACACAGACACGCATGTAATTCCAGAAATTAATGAAAATAGAGGCCATGAATTTGAAAGAGAGCAAGTAGGGTGTATGTAAAGGTTTGTGGGGAGGAAAGGAAGGAGGAAAATGATGTAATTATATTATAATTTTAAAAGTAAAAGAAATAGCCGGGCATTGGTGGCACATGCCTTTAATCCCAGCACTCGGGAGGCAGAGGCTGGTGGATCTTTGTGAGTTCGAGGCCAGCCTAGACTACAGAGCAAGTTCCAGGAGAGCCTCCAAAACAACACAGAGAAACCCTGTCTTGAGAAAAACAAAACAAAAAAAAAGTAAAAGAAATAATATTTAAAAATTAAAAAAGAGAAACAGCCCACAATTTTGAGTTGGAGAGGCAAATAAGATGCTGAGCAGAAATGCCCATGACGGGGGAATTAAAGCAGACATGATCTTATATCAAATGGCAGAGCCTTGTTTGGACTCACCACACTGTGGGCAGGTTTCTTCTTAGATCCACCTGCTTCTACTCAGTCCCTCTGTCCAGTCAACAGTGTCTATGGTTACCACCAAAGTTTGCTGTAAGTTAGCATACTTAGAAATTTCCAACTGAAACTGTTTTCATTAGTACAATAGAGTGGTCACTAATGTCATTTTAAGGGGGTCGATACTGAATCTCACTATAAGTACAAAGGGTTCCTTCTGAATTCAACGCCCTATGTGTCTGTGTGCTGTGGAGTATTATTTTAACTCGGCAAATATGTGTTACATTTGTTTATGCTACGGGATATTGCTTTAACTGTGTACAGTTTTTTCTTCATTTGTCTAACAACGTAAGGTTGTGTGCTTAATTATGTAAAGATGTATCGAGTTTGTTTCACCTTGCCTGCCTAAGGCACCTGGTTGGTCTAATACAAAGCTGAATGACCAGTAGCAAGGCAGGAGAGGGATAGGCAGGGCTGGCAGTCAGAGAGAATGAATAGGAGGAGAAATCTAGGCTCAAGAAGAAGAGAGAAGAAAGGAGGGAAAGAGGGAGAAAGAGAGGGAGGTGCCCAGGGTCCAGCCAGGCAGCCACCAGCCAGAGAGACAAGAGAAGTCGTGAAAGATATACAGAAAAAAAAAGTAAGAAAGGTTAAAAAAAAAAAAAAACAGAGTGTAGGGAGAGACCATATACCCATGACCACGCCCCTTGCGGGTACGTGGTCTCTCCCTATAGCAGAGGCAAAAGTTAGATAAGGAGAAGCAGGTTAATTTATATTAAAAGAAAAAAGCTAGCCAGAAATGACAGTAACCTAAGCTGAGTATTCATAACTAACAATAAGTCTCCCACGTCATGATTTGGGAGCTGGTTGGTGGCATAAGAGAAAAAGTCTGGTACATCTCTGTATTTGTTTCCAGCTTCATTTCTTGCTATTTGCTGTAGAAAGGTATCTTCATGTGTCCAAGATGGGAGAAAATTGGAGTGATTTTCATGCTGGAGACCAGCTGTGAAGCAATAAAAATGGAAATCTACACGGCATAAAGAAAATGGGAATCCCAAAGACAAGAGATAGAAGTGAAATTTCACAAATATTTTACATCTAAATACACTGTGTTAGGTTTCAGGGTTTGTGAGACTGAACGCCAAATGTAAAATCTCAATGTCAGAAATAAAGACCTTTATAATCTACTCAGCTGGTAGGAGAATTTCCAATATTGACTCATTCAGAACACTATAATAGATATTATTAAAGATGCATATAAGATAGGTCACATACACGTAGGAAAATGAGTATCCTGTAATTTTTTATACTATTGCTTATAGATGTCCTACAAAGTGACATAAAATGAGGGTATGTCACAGGAATAGTTAATAACTATCTATATCCTTCAGTTACACTCTTTGACAGTAACAATAGTTACTATTAAGGGGAATCAGGGACACCAATGACTTTGCTTGACAACAACTTCATTTTTAGTGTGAGCTTTGTAATTATTCTAAAATCTCTGCATATATAGTTTTCAAACTATTAACAGTACTGAACTGAACTATTAACAGACAAGAATTGTTAGAGACTTAATACTAGCCTTGTTGTACTTCAAAGGGATCTGAAAGATGCTTTTCTAATTCATTGAGCAATATTTATTTAAAACCAATTTTGTGCAGGCAAGACGCTAACACACAGTTGCCAGTTCCAAAGAGCTTATTGTCACATGTGATAATTAGAAAGTGGTGAGACAGTGACTGTCAGATTGGAGCTGCTGTCACTCTAGGAATACCTGGGCCTCACAGCACTTGGTCAAAAGCATTGGGATTTCACTTCACTGATGAAGAAAGTTTCTGCTGCACAGTCTGGTCCAGCAGCCACCCCAACACCAAATAAACACACAGATGCTATATTAGTTACAAAACTGTTAGCCAATGTCTTAGGCTTCTTATTTGCTAGCTCTGCCTTAATTATTAACCCATGTCTATTAATCTAAGTATTGCAATGAAGCTGTTCCTTACCAGGTAACTCTCAGGCATGTTGTTACTCCTTTGTAGCATGGTGACTCTGTGGCTGGTTCCATTTGCCTCCCTTTCCCAGAATTCTCCTTGTCTCCTAGACCCACCTATCTTCCTGCCTCACTTCACCACTGAGACTTGGGACAGAAACTTTTCCTAATGTGTGTGACAGCTGAGGAAACCACTTACCTGAGTTCCTCCACTGAGACACACAGACATAAAAATTCTTACCTTATAGGATTGACTGAATGAAGTGTGTTTTCCGGGTTTAAGTAATTGTTCTGTAAGTGGTCCTCACTGTTGTTGGTAGAGATGGAGCTAGCAGTGGGGCTGGCTTGAACTGCCGGGGAGCAGCAGGGCCTCTGAAGACTGTGTGGGATTTTACTCAGCTGCAAAGAGAGCGAAAGCATGTTAGACAAAAAGGACAGAAGCAAAAAGAGAATCGAGAGGGGTGTTTGTTTAGGAAAAGAATCTGCACTTTTAAATGAGATACTCATTTGGCCAGGGGTCAGGAAAAATGGTAAGAAATTGGACAGGGTCATAAAAATTTAAGTTGGAGCATTCTATTCAGTCCAACCGGGACTCCTGTTTATCGGAATACGGAAACACTGTGCCTGGAAACAAGCTCACACACAAGCTCACACACAAACACAGACACAAATTCACACACAAGCACAGACACATCATTGGTGTAGGGAAAGCATGAATTTTTTTTTCTTGGTTTTTTGAGACAGGGTTTCTCTGTATTGTTTTGGAGGCTGTCCTGGAACTCACTCTGTAGACCAGGCTGGCCTCGAACTCACAGAGATCCGCCTGCCTCTGCCTCCCGAATGCTGGGATTAAAGGTGTGCCAGCCACCAATGCCCGGCCGGGAAAGCATGAAATTGGGTCTGTTCCATTAGGGTAGAGTGACCTGCAGGCAAGGGAAAGTCTTTCCTGTGAGATGACAAAAACCTCGTTAGTCTGAACACATTTCCGTGTTCCTTTTTTCTCAGAAATGCTATCACTGTTGACAAGAGGTAAGAAATGAAAACACCCTCTCCCGTGTGAAGGACAGAGCTGTGTAGACAGATGGATTCGTGCATATTCGTTTATACAGTTAAATTCTCAAAAAGTGTACCATGCATTTCAAAGCACAACTCCATAACAGTGGTCTGAAAAATGCAGGAGTTGCAAAATTGATGCGAACCAATTAATCGTGGCCAATCCGCACAAACGTACAACAGTTAAGCACATTCAAGATAGGTGGACTCTGAGCCATGATGAACAAGAGATCAAAACCCAAATCAAAACCGCTCACGTGTGTGAGTTCATCACGGAAGAGAACGGCTGTGTGGCGGCTCTACTTGCTGGTGACTGAGCGGACGTTCCCTCACGCACAGACATAGTCAGATTAAGCTGAACTTTCCGGCTTGTTTGTTTGTTTGTTTGTTGTTATTGTTGTTGTTGTTTGGTTGGTTTTTGTTTTTTTGACACAGGATTTCTCTGTGTAACAGCCCTGGCTGTCCTGGAACTCACTCTGTAGACCAGGCTGGCCTCCGACTCACAAAGATCCGCCAGTGCTGGAATTAAAGGTGTGCGTCCAGCTTTTTGAAGGCAGGTGATAATGAATTCAGCAAACCCAAGATAAATGATAAATGGGTGGTTTATTGGGGAACAACTTATGCAGATAATAATAGAGAACGGCTGCAGCCAATCTCTGCCCTTCCAATCTGGGGGGGGGAGGGGAGAGAGAGAGGGAAGGAGGAAGGGAGGGAGGGAGGACACCTCTTTCCGGTTCTGTCCACACATGAAGCCACGCCCAAAGGGGTGTGGCCACTAACACAAATATACTGACAAGGATAGATGCCGCTAGAGCTTTTAATTATTTTTTTTAACTTCCACCTGTCTAAAGTGAGCTCAGTCAAAGAATCCCAAGGCTTTGGCAATTGTTTCTCCTAAGACGACTTCCAACAGTCATTTATAATGTTCTACCTCCTATGTACTGAATGAAAGAAGCATCTGTATGTAGGGCAGTTACTTCGCATGAGTGTTGACAGACTTTCTTTCATAATTTACATGAACAGGAAATTCTGATGAAGGAACCCTTACTATTATTTTATCCTTTGCTAAGTGATAGGACATAAGACACAATTCTTGCCCTCGGTAAGCTCACGGGAGAGGAGGGCAGATGAAAACCTGGGAGATGAGCCGTGACACGCTATTGATTTCCTGGTGTAAACAGCACGTGTGCCGAGTTCTTTCCATGCAAACCACGTCTGGGTAACATCATACTAACCTCTGTAAAACAGATCTTTTGAATTGAGTCTGGTTGCACTAAAGGAGATAAAGGTAATTCATTAAGACGGGATGAATTCTGAGAGGTAAGTGACGGAAACAGTCCCGGAAGAGTTTGCTCACACAATTGTGGGAAACGGTGCATTCCCAGGACTCTTCATCCCTGGGGAAGGGGCGAGCTCATCACGGCATGTTTTTAGGATGTGATTAAGTATTTCAAAAGAAGGGGATGGTGAGAATTCTTACAAGGAAATGATACTATAAACTGCACCAAGATGAGCCCAACCAAGTTTCCTGACTCCTAATTTGAGCCCCCAAGAGATAAGAGTGCTGTGAGTTCACTGATCCCCATTTTGCAGAGGTTTCTGGGTCTCATTCGCCACAAAAGGCAAGTGAGGGACCCTCCCACTGATTGTCCTTTCATATCCCCATTAGAACTGGCTTCAACATGGGCTGACAGTGTCATCACGCTTACCTGTACCATAGTATCTGTATTCCAGAAGACCTCTCCCACTCTACCAAATCCTTCCTAAAGAAAATAACGTGTGTGTGTGTTTGTGTCCCTCCCATCAAAGAGTTCAAATATCTGTATTCCAGAAGACCTCTCCCACTCTACCAAATCCTTCCTAAAGAAAATAACATGTGTGTGTGTGTGTGTCCGTTGCGTCCCGTCCAAGGGTTCAATATACTTCAACTCTCTGCCTCCATCTCCCTGTAACGTATATCTGAAAGCATGACCATTACTAAGTGCTAAGTAGACAGACTCAGGTCTTGCCTTTTCTCTGCTCAAAACACTTAATGATCTCACATTTCACTCAGGGTTAGGCCGAAGTCTTGGAGATGCACACAAGGTCCAAATACTCTGCTAGCCCATTAGTCACTGCCTCACAGTGAGCCCTTTCTAAAGTCATCATCTTCAGCTTCTCATGGCTGTCTGGTCCAGCCAGGACGGGCCAGACCACAGAGCAAGCAGACTCCTAAGTCGGGGACTTTACGGCAGCTCTTCATGTTGCATGGAAGTCCTTGGATGTGACTGTGGCTCACTCTCTCCCTCCCTCTGCCTCAACCAGCATCTCTTGAGGACTTCTCAGTGGGGTTTTCTCTGACCACATCACTTCAAGTTGCGGCTGTCCCATCACAGCCTCCTCTCCTCTGTTATTTCTCCTCCATAGCGAGTTACTGTGTGCTCGCCTCAGCTTACACGTCTGCAATCTTAGTCATGCAGAAAAGCCTCACCTAGAGGATGACCGCTTCTGCTGAAATCTCCCAGGTTGGATTTTGTCCTGCATCATGTTGTTAGTTTGGTACTGATGCTTGCTTACTTTAAGCTTAAGCAACAATGTTTTTACCTATTTTTCTTCCGTTTTTTCCTTGCTGTTGTTGCTTCATTGCCAGTAAATTTATACACTCTCTGAGGCAAGACTTGTCTCTTTTATTTTTTTATTGTTTTGATTGGTTGATTTTTTTGAAGCAGGGTCTCACTGTGCAACCCTGGTTATCCTGAAACTCTCTGTGTTGACCATGCTGGCCTTGAACTCACAGAGAGCTATCAGCTTCCACCTGGGATTAAAGGTACGCACCAACACGCCAGGCCCAAAGCAATAGTTCTGTTGGATATTTTTCCTCAGTTCCAAAGACAAAACATGTTTTTGTTTCAATAAACAGTTTAAGGACTAAACCACAGACTAATCACCCAGAGAGAAGAATGGTTAACAAGTGCCAGGGCAACAAGCCTGTAGATAGTGTGGTGTCATCACCATCCTGCAGATGAGATTTGGGTAGCTCACACATGATCCCAAGGCTGTCTCAGATGGAGAACAAGATCGAAGCCAAGTCTGATAGACTCCACAGACCACAATCTATCCCTCAATCACTGGCCCAAACCAGTGACTTGCATTCATTAAGTACCTACTATGGGCCACTCATTAAGTACCTACTATGAGGCATTCATTAACTACCCACTATGAACCATTCAATAAGTACTGACTTTGGACCATTCATGAAGTACCTACTATGAGCCATTCATTAAGTACTGACTATGTACCATACACTAAGTACCTACTATGAGCCATTCATTAAGATCTGACTATGGGCCATTCATTAAGTACCTACTATGAGCCATTCATTAAGTATCTACTATGGATCATTCATTAAGTACCTACTATGAGCCATTCATTAAGTACCTACTGTGGACCTATCTCAGGTACTTCCCAGGTTAGTTCGCACTCAGGACAACACTGTGGGCAAGTAGTATCAATTTTGCTTTGTAAATGAGAAAACCACAGCTCTGGGGTTTCCACCACTTGAGTAAACTTACACCCAACAACGGAAGCAGTGACTCGTCACCTCAGCTACACAATTGCAGTCACTGCGCACACGCTGCCTTGAAGCTCAGAGACCTGCTTAGAGAACACGTTAGGCTGGGGGGTGGGGTCTGGGCTTTTGCTGGAGGTCACATATCCCTTCTTCAGTGAACTTGTAATCTTGAAAGCTGCTTCCTTTGAAGTCAACGCCTCCCTTTCTGCCTCCTTTCATGGACTGCTATGTACAAACATGATCAAATCCACTCCCCCTACCCCCTCCAAATCCCATCAGTAATTCCACATCACATCTCCGTCCAGGTTTCATGTTTACTTACTTTTTTAATCACCTTATCCGATTATTGCTGTACGTGTGTGCAAGGGTGTGGGATTATCCACTGGGGCTTAGGGAAACCTATTAGTGGCCACAGTCCAAAAGAAAAGTGACCACCTTTAAGGTGAACACTTTAAATGGTAACGCATGTCTCCATTAATCACTACCCACTGCGGTGAGAAGCATCTCTGACCAAGGATGGTCAAGCACACATCTATGGTTTTAACATAAATATTTAGAAGGCAGTATGCCAAGAAAACCACTTAGAAAAACATCAATGGTTTCTCCGCTGGAACCTGTAAGTCCCCTAGCCATGGACTTGACCATGTTTAAAGTACAAGGTATGAATTCCTTCCTGTGGAGCAGGCCTCAAATCGATTCAAGAGGGTGGTTGGTAACCCCCACGAACACTCTTGCCAATATTGTGCCAGTGGGCACATATTGTTTGGCAGGTTAGTGTTATAGTACACAGGGTCCA